AATTGCAATTACCATTAAATCGATAACATTTTTTGTTGGATTTTGAAGTTTAAGAGTTGTTAAACTTTCGCGTAAAGTTGAATGAAATCTCTCGATTTGGCTATTTGAGTTGGGATTTCTAGGTGTTATGTAATGAAATTCAATATTGTGTAGTGTACAAAGGTCAGTTATAATAAAGTTTTTGAACTCAGTCCATAATCTGAAGCTATTTTCTGAGGGATTCCGTGGTCACTGAAATATTTTAGAAGTTGTGACGTTATTTCAACAGCTGTTTTAGTATTGACGGGAAGGGCTTGGCCAAATTTTGAAAAACTGTCTATAATCTTTAAAAATTTTTGATTATTACTTATGTACGTGTCAACATACAAATGTTCAAATGGTTTTGAACCAATTGGTGTAGGTTTGAACATTATTTTGTACGGGTGTCGTTCATGTTTGGTCTTATTGCATATTTCACATGCCTTTACGTATGTTTGTACATCTTTCTCGATGTTCGGCCAATAAAATCTTTTCTTTAGTGCCGCTACGTTTTCAGTTATTCCTCTATGGGATGTCTCCGTTTCATAATACAATTTTAGTTTCTCTTGTTGTTCATCAATTTCGGCTACGTCTTCGACTAGCGAGTTAGATATATACAATTTAAATGAATTCGCATTAAATGCTGACTGCAAGGCTCGTAATATTATAGGTTCTAGTGTCTTATTTAGAAAATGAAGACAGTATGTGTCAGGGGCCATATATTCTTTAACTAAATTGACTATTTGGTCATTTGATGGATTGTTTGGTAGAAAGAATATGATTCTCTTTTTATTAGGAAAAGGCTTAATAATTTCTTTCCTAATTGTATTATTATTTGAGTAGCGAAATATCACTTGATTAGGGAAGAGATTCACATGTTTCTTTGCATATGGAGCACCTATAATTGGATTTTCCAAGGATGTATGTATAGTTTGTTCTTCTGAAGGTGTTGATATTGTTTCTTCATCTTCTGAGTTTGTCGAGTTTGTCCTTTGTTTAGGTTTTATTGTAAGGGTTTTTTCTTCTTTATTATACATTTTTGAAGATTCTCCCTGTTCTATTGGAATTTCTTTCTTCTTCTTTGGAGGGACAATTACTTGTGAAATTATTTTAATCTTTGGTGCATTTTCTTTTTCAGATGCGATTTTTGTTGGTTTGCGCATATATGGTTTTGATTCTGTGAAATATTTTCTAATTATTTCATCATTACATAAAGGTGTCTCTTAACATATCTCCTAATTTATTGTGAAATTCTTCATCAGTTTGTGCTGTTACTTTCGCTTCGGGATCTGATGATTATGAGGTTTGGATGTATTTATTTGTAAAGGTGGTCTTGATAGAGCATCCGCATTCATGTTAAGGGTTCCTTTTCTATATTTAATTTCAAAATTTCAAATTCGGATAACTTAAGTCGCCATCTTACTAATTTAGAAGTTGGTTCCTTTACGTTGAATAACCACTGTAGAGGTTTATGATCCGATAAAATAGTAAATTTTCTTCCGAAAAGATACGGTCTGAAATATTTGGTTGCCCAAACAATTGCTAAAAGTTCTTTCTCCATGGTTGAGTAATTTTATTCTACAGGGTTCAACGTACGACTTGCATATGCAATCGGAAGGTCAGAGCGGACAGGGCCTTGAGATAACACTGCTCCTATGGCATAATTTGATGCATCAGTTGTTAAAAGAAAAGGTCGATTGAAATCGGGATGTTGTAATACGGGATCATTTACCAGGATATTCTTGCATGTTTCAAAACTTTTTATAAATTCCACATCATGAATTATCTTCTCGTCCTTTTTCAAACATACCGTCATTGGTTTCGTTAATTTAGCGAAATTCTTAAGGAATTTTCGGTAGTAACCTACTAATCCTAAGAAAGATTTTATCTCTTTGACAGTTCTTGGAATTGAAAATTCCTTTATTGCCTTTATTTTGTTCGGATTAGGTTTTATACCGTTTGGCGTTATCACATGTCCTAGAAATTCTACTGTTCTTTGTAAAAATTCAGACTTATCGAGTTGAATTTTTAGGTTATATTGTTGTAGTCTTTCAAATACTTGTTTAAGGTTTTTCACATGTTCTTGAAGTGAAGTCGAAAATATGATGATGTCATCCATATATACAAGACATATTTTGTTTTGCAATCCAGATAACATATTATCCATCGCTCGTTGAAAGGTTGCTGGTGCATTTTTGAGTCCGAATGGCATTCGAGTAAACTCATAGTGTCCATATTCAACATTAAATGCCGTCTTAGGTATGGAGTTGGGATACATCTCTACTTGATGGAATCCAGATGCGAGATCCAATGTTGTGAAATAATCGCTTCGTCCTAATTTATTTTACGTTACTTGTTCTGTATTAAATGTCTCAAAAGCTTCTTCATTATAGATAAAACTTGCTTCTGCTAGGTCATCTTTATGCGTAGTTAGAACAAAAGGTTTATCTGTTAGATTATGCACTTCTAACAAAGTTGTTCCATTTATAACCTTAGCTATTGTTTCTGGTATCATGTATTTATCCGTTTTCACTTGAGGTATTAAAATCTCAGTATTTTCAAGGATGTCTGTATCAAAATGACAAAGTTGAATAGTTTTTGCTGAAATTTCTAAATTTTGGGTATCAAAGTCTGTTCTAAATTGAAATGGAAATGTTATTTCTTCATTACTAAGGCACATATTTGTAAAGTCAATATTTGAATTATTTTCTTGTAAAGCTTTAATTCCTATAATACCGTCAAAATAATCATGAAAATTATACATTATCATGTCAATATCTTGATCAATATTAAATTCATGTAAAATTGGAATTCTCACTTTACTATGGGCTTTTCTTGTTCCCATACATGTAGTAAGTTTATTTAAAGAGTTCACTATAAAATCTGGGAAGTATTCTTCCGCTATTGAAGGTCTTATTAATGAAGCATAACTACCTGTGTCTATTAAAAGCTTACAAGGTGAATCGAAAGTTTCAATAAAAGGTAGTTGATTGACTTGGTATGCATTTAAAGTCAATGCTGATTGTTGGATTCCAAGGCTAGTGTCTGAAAATTTTCATCAGGGCTTTCTTGGTAATCTTGACTTATTTGTCATTTATTTCTGAGTTGTCGGATATTTCTCCGAATTCTGAACTTTCATAGTTCTCAGAAGTTTCGTCTGGTTCTTGTAATTGAATTCCATATATATTATTTATTTCTTCAATGGTGTATTTTGAAGGACCTGCATTGGGATCTGGTCGAAAATAATTTGATTGTTGGGGTTGAAAGCCTCTTGAAAAATTCCGTCTATTGATTTGGGAATCTTGTCTTCTTGGTTGAATAGATACGCCAGACATAGGTGTCGGTTTTGTTGAGGGAAGGTTATTGTTTGATTTAAAAACATTTGTTTTGTTGTAATTTTTATCAAACGTACCCGAACTAGTAGGGAATTTATGAGTCATTGCTTTTGGCAGTAAGTTTATTGGTTGTGAAGGAAATTGTGGCTTCACATGGAAATACGGGTTTTGTTGTCTTTGTTGTTGTGTATTATTTTGTTGGTGTTGAAATGTTTGATTATTGTTTGTCTTAAAATTCGAAAAGGAATTATTTTGATTTTTGTTAAATTTCATATGATTCTCAGGTATCTGATAGTTTAGTACAAAAGATGTTGCTGCGTCTAATGTTATAGGATTCTGAACCATTAAAATTGTTCTAAGCTCGACTGTTGAATTTGTTATCAAATTCTGTACCGCTGTAACTACATTTTGAGCTACAAGAATATTTGCAACTGCTAACAAATTACTGTCACACATTATTTTTGAAGTAATTCGGTGATTAAGAGCTTTCAATCTTTCTAAATATTCATAAATTGATTCCTTTTGGTTTCTTGATGCATACATTAATTCTTGAATCAAATTTTGACGAGAATAAAGATCTCTATATTTAATTCTTAGAGCACCCTTAATATCTATCCATGAATTTAAATCTGGACGTGTCATCAGAAAATTTCCAGCATCATTGATAAGCTTTGATTTTATCGCAGTTATCACATATACTACATAATAAGTGTGATAAAATTCATCAATATTACTAATGAAATACTCCAGATATTGAGTTAGTAGATATAGTATATGCGTTCTACGCCCTCCGACGCCTCCGTGACGTCTGCGCATGCGCCAACCAGGGCGTCGCCACGCCGTGACGTCATCAGTCAGCTGTCATCTGTCAGTCAGCTGTCAATGTCACCTGTCAATGTCACCTGTCAATATCAGTCACCTGTCAATGTCAGTCACCTGTCAATGTCATCTGTCAATGTCAGTCAGCTGTCAATATCAGCTGTAAATGTTATCTAACCCAATCTACCTGAACTACTCCAACTTACCCAAACTGCTCTCTGATGCGCCATCTATAAACCCCGTATAACATTACACCTATGTGTATTTTTTATATTTCTACATGTATTTATACAGATGAAAAAATACGTGAAATTAAACATGCATTAATACATGAAGAAATATAAATAAAATAAACATATGGGCTTAAGAGAAAAAATACTAACCTCAAACAATTTTTTATTTAAAAACATACATTTTTTAGGACTCAACTATTTCAAAAAGCGATATTTGAAGCGCTCGGGGCAACAAAGTGCATAAGCCACATTGGAACATTATTGAGGAAAACGACTTGGAAAATTCTAGTCAAATCTGTAAATCGGGTTTGTTTTGCAAAATTGTGATTTTTGGGTTATAGGGTTTCAGTGAGTTGAGTTCTTCCCCGTAAATAAAACAAAATACAAAAAAGTTAATTTTTTTCGAATTTATTGGATTTTTTTTTGCTAAAGTGTGGCATGTGCCTTTCTTATATCAAAATAAAACAACATTTTCTAGATTTCACTAAACTAAAAAAATTAAATAAGTAGCTCTTAGCTCAACATAAATCTTATAAATTCTTTGGTTACAATAAAAAAATACTAGTACAGGTAATAAATATTAAGCAGCTTTCCGCTAGTCTTCTCCATCCACATCTTCCGCAATATTTTGATCTTCAGTTTCGTCAATGTGCTCTCCAGCACACTGCTCGAAAATAGTAACATAAAAGTTTTGATTGATAGGTGGTATGTATCGCAAAAGTTTTTTTAAGTCTTCAACTTTCTTGCTGTTCAGTTTTACAGGTTCATTGTATTTGCAGTCTAAGTTGTCAAGAATATCGTCTGACTGAAGAACTAACCTATTTCCACGCTTTCCAACATTAACTTTTTTTAAATTTCCATTTAGTTCATGTTTTATAAACATCGTATTGGGTTCACCCGATTCAAATCGGAAGCAGCGTGCTTTTGTGAAATTTACAGGCTCTTTATCTTCAGTTATGTTTTTTTTCACCATAGGAACTTTTTGAAACGATAAGAAATCTTTCTGTTCCATAACAATAACTTCGAATGGATTGGCTCTTTTACTTTTTCTAACGGCTTCGTACCAGTCCTCTGGGCAATAAATTTGTCTCAAATACCTCTTGTGTTTTTCAATTTGGGCGAAATCCCTATCGCAAGGCAAATAGGTATGTCCTGATACCAAAAACCTATGTTCAATACTTTTGAATTTTTTTTCCCTGACAAGTTGTAGCCATAGTGCCATAATTAGCCAGTTTTTGTTCTGGCCTCCACAGTTATCAGTGAAAACAACAAGTTCCCATTGTTCATTTGTTTCTCTAGATGAGAGATACTTCAATAAAATACTTGCTATTTCCTCACTTCCTCTCTTGGCTGTAGCCTCTGTCCACATAAACATGCTTGCTTGTCCAGATATGCAATCGTGAATACCAAGGTTGTAAGTCCAAGCTTTACGCAAGTAGAATGCTGGACCAACTGTAAGACTAGGTGTTGGAAGAGTTTGCTGCAAGTCAAATGCAATAACTAATACTTTTCTATTGGTTTGTTTAACTGATTTTACTTCCTCTTTCATATTATTTGACATGGCTTCTGCTCTCCTATGATGTAACTCAAGCTCAAGTTTCAGTCTGTTAAGGTCTTCTTCATTCTTGTTCGCAGTTGCTGTTTGAATAGCAATTTTCATTGAATCACATGTTAGACACGTATCGCTTTTCGGCAATTTGAAGCCTATGTTATATTCATTGCAAAATATTCTTCGATACTTGTGTTCTTTGACTGGGGTAATATTTTTTTCCCTACACCAGTCAATATAAAAATCCTTGTAAAGTCCAGAGATACTAATGTCATGGTCAAGGTAAACTCTGCTTGGATTTTTCTTTCTGCTATAATGGCTGACATATTTTGGGAACGCGCGTATATGGTCATGAACGGACTGTACTTGTTCAAGTGGTGTTCTATTTGGCCGATTGCTGTGTTTTCCTCTCTTGTCATCTTGTGGAACACTTCGCCCGTCTGAGATCTGATTGCAAATAAGCCTAACGCGCTTAGAAGACTTTTGCAGACCATGACTGGCTAAAAATTCTTGCTTGCACAGCTGTATGTCAATTCCATTTACTTTGACAAAATATTGATAAGTGACTTTTCGAGACGATTCTCTTCTTTTTATTTTCTTTTTATAGGAACGCTTCTTTGGTACAGCTTTTATGGATCCGAACAGGTAAGTGTTTTGGGCCTTGTAGGTACCTAAGTTCCAAAATGAATTGAAAATGTCAGTTTCTTTTCCCAGGAGTCGCTCTCTACACTTCTTCTTGCAGTTACAAGACGGGCCAATTTTCCTATCCAAAACCGTTTTTCCCCTACTACTTTCATACTTGCATCCAAGATTTCGTTTGATTTGGCGCTTTTTTTTCTCCCTCCGTTCTATATTCGTCTTCCGCCATCGAGAAGGATTGCTTTTATCCGGCGTTACCAGAACACCTCGTGATGTTCCAGCTTGTTGTGTTACGTTTTGGACTGGTTCCTCAAAATTTTCATCTGACGACTCTTCTCCAGAGATCTGCAAGAAAATAATGTTTGTTCTAATTTTGGAACCAAAAGGGTCATAAGCCACAATTAAACTCAAAAAGGTCTTAAGCCGCAAAGAGAAATATCCGAAATTTTTCTGGTAAAAATAAATAAATCCCGCAATTTAATAACAAAAATTTAATTAATCAACACTATTTTATCATTTAAGCCCATCTGGAAAACAAATTTTATGAATAAACATTAAAAAAAAACTAGTATTGTTTTTAAGTAGATAATGGCACATGCCCTCCAAAAAATAAACCAAAAAAGTCATAAGCCACAATTTTGTTTACTTACGGATTGTTCAGATTCAAATGGAGATTCAGATCCACTAACAGTTGGACGATAATCTCTATCTGCTATACTATCGTCAGCACTGAAATCACTTTCATTATCACTACTGCTTATATCACTTTCAGATGCATTTCTCTTGAGAGGCCCATGCGGTCCGTCCGCCATGTTGTGGCTTGTGTCGTTGTTGATTGCAAATAACTACATTATTCGGCGTAGGAAACAAAGACTTTTAGGTATAGTGCTGCCATCTATTGATGTTTCTTAAAAATATTTCACAAGTGGCTTGTGACCTTCTTGTAGAATGGAAAAATGAAGTAATCCTAATTATCTGTAATATGTGGCTTATGTCCCTTGTTGCCCCGAGCGCTTCATTTGGTTTGGTCGTCCTACATCCTTCTGGCCTCTGTATATTATTGAATATTTTCCATCCATAAACTGCTCAATATGATCTTCCAATGATTTGGTGGTACGTTTTTAAGAAACACTGCCTTATCGTCAAGTTCAATGAGGATGCTCGGTCCGAATTTACTTTGGGTTTTTTTAGCAGAAAATATTGGGTACTTTCTGCCAGGCTCCATGTCTTGTAATTTCACAAATGTTTTTTGATCTCTGAAGAGGCAGGTCTCGTTGATTGATTTCAAATCCATATCTAAAAAATATTCTGTAGGTATTGATATTAGTATATAAAATATTTTTTCTCCAAACGTCAGAAAAACGTCACTTTGTTAACTCCTGTCAAGATGTCAGAAATTTGATTTCTATGCTGCTAGTCAAATCCAGCGGGTTAACACCTGTCGAGGTGGTAGAAATTTAATTTCTATGCTGCTTGGCAACCCCAGCGGCAGCAAAAGTACTTTTAGTGCCGCTCGTACTTTTACTGCCGCTCAACCATTCACTTGCCCCCGAGCTTACCTCATTCGTTTGGAGAAAAAATAGCGTGTTGCATACGGAGTAGAAGCACTTTTTTGTACTTCAGCAGTATTGCAAGCCTCACTACGTTCGGCTCGCAAACCTACCGCTTCAGCACAAAAAAGTAAAGCTTCTACTCCTAATACAACAATATACTATACTTACTTGTTAAAAAAAAATGTTGTGCAATAATTTTATAATAATTATAATGTCCACTGTTGGCGAGATCGAAAAAGACTGAAGCTCGAGTATCATAAAAACCGATTTAAACCTCAACGTACATACAATAATAATTATTTCAGCAGTGTTTGTTTTACAATGACCTCCAAACGCGTCTCGAGTACCACATTTAAATATAGTCCGACACGAGATCCGTTCTAGAACGGTAATTTCCAGTCAATCAATTAATTTGGTCGTTAAAGATAAAACGTTCAACTTATGAAAAAATAGGAGAACATCTGGATATTTTTTGGCTCTGGACCGGATCTTGTGTCGGATGGAACAGAGCCAATGACTAGATAAAATAATACACATTTATAAAAATCGGGTTTTTTTATTTATTTTAATTTTTTTTTATTATTTATTAATTTTTTTAGTTGGAGTCTGGAGGCGGAGCATTCAGGATGGTCTGAAAATAATAAACATATTAGTATAGGTATCTGCTTCAAATATTTTATGCTTACAATTTGTAGAGTTCCTCCGACTACAGCCGCCTCAAACTCAACACCCCACACCGTCATTAAAAAGGGTGTGGGAAGGGCCTCTCCCACCATCCCTCTCCTTATCTATACCGTGTGAATTTGAAAAAAATATGTGAAAATTGAAAACTTAAATGAAAAATACTATTTCGCTATTACTTACGGGGATGGCGGATTGGGCCTCCCAAATTAGCTTGCAGTTGTCTGCGATGTTGTGAGACATTTCCAGCTGTAAGATTATATTATCAAATTTAATATTTTATGGATATAAGATATGAAAAAATTGTAAAACTGATGTTTAAAATATCCCATAATGAGAAACTTAATATTTTAATATTTTATGAATATCGGGTAACACAATAAATAGGACACAACCTAAGTTGTAGTTGTTGGGGTATTTTTCATCGGATTTTGAGAATGTTGATATAATAAAATAGGGAAAAAAATCTCTTTTCAAAATGTTAATAAGGTCCGGCATGGTTGCATTTAAAAAAAAAAAAAAAATTGGGATATTTTGACAAAACCTCTTTCTTTAATTTTTGAACTAAAATTCTACCGTTCAGGTAGGAAAAAATTGAAGTTACAAATTTTTCTGAAAATCTCCTTCAGGTGAAAATACAGAGGCGTCTGGCAATTTTGGGACCAATAGGAAGCGAATTACAGCGATAATTTTGCACAAGTGCAAATTATCGATAATTTGCACAAGTGCTAATTGTCGATAATTTTTTTTTTCAGGTATTTTTTACCTGACTCAACGAGTTATAATCAGTTTTGTACAGAGTAAATTAGACACAAATTATCAGCTTTCTATACAGTAGATTAAACTGTTTCCAAATCGATGTTTGAGATCTCTTCGTATTGATTGGCGTAAGGTCTTCGATAGTTTTATCGATATCCGCCGCTGAACTCTTCCCAAAACAAGCCATATTTGCTTACAAATTCGGAATTATTTTTTAAATGAAACTTTTGACAAATTTGTCGATTGACAACATAGCAACATAATGATTGTTTAAAACAAGGTCCCTAGTAAAATACTGCGAACAGGTATAAAGATTCAGGAAATTTTCTTATAAAATATAACTCGTGCAATGAAAATATATCTATAATTTTTGAAAAATTTGCACTCGTGCGTTTTTAACTGAAAAAGGCACTCTCGTGCACTTTTTCAACTAAAAATGCATTCGGGCAATTTTCCCAAAAATTGTCGATAATTTTCATTGCACTTGTTATATTACTACTGATAATTAGAACATTCAACTAAATCAATTTACACCAATTGTTTTTTTTTTTTTTTAATTAATTCATTTTTTTTTCCTATCAAACGTAAAATGATCTATTGATATCAGAAAGAAAAAGAAGTTGTAAAATACCGGGTATCCTAAATCAGAAGGTATGGCCCACAATGAGAACCTAATACAAAAACTTTCCGGAAATCTACTCCCCGATAAAAATGTCTGGAGGGAGGAATCGACGCATAATATAAAAATATATATATATATATATATATATATATATATATATATATATATATATATATATAAATGAAAAATTAAAGTTTATAGGGTTGCAGCCAATAATATTGCAACCAAAAATTAAACTTTAATTTTTCATTTAATATTAGACAGCCATAAAACTATCAAGCTATATATATAAGATTTATTCAGGCATATTGATTGATTGAAGTTACGTTTTGTCTTAAATGCGATTTTGGATCAAATACCTGCTTACGAAAGTATTTTTATAACTAGAAGCAGCAATTTAGATTGTTTTTTTCGTTACACGCTAATTTCAAGCTAAGTTTGGCTAGATTTTGATTATAAAGAAATTCAATCTGAAAATGTCTAGAAAATTTTACATTTTTTTTTTCAACAGTTTTTCAATATTTCAAGGAATAAAGTCAAAAGAAAACACTTCAAGGACTAATTTGGGTGCCTGTTGTCAAAATTCAGGTTCAAAGATTCATAGGGGTAAACTTCAGAGTTTAGGTATAGTTTAATATCAGTAATGTTGACATTATCGAAATATGTAACGTCTTTCTGATAGTGTCTTTACGGTCAGTTTGGAAAAATACAATAACGTATCGTGGTTTCTCCGACATCGATTTCACAGTCCAAACATCTTTCTTCGTGTTTCTCATTGCAGGCAACTCATGAATTTCCCAATCACGGAACCCGAAAAAGATTGGTTTATTTTTGGAAATTTCCTCTAATAATTGCAGTTTTAGGACATCGTTGGGATAAATATGTTTAACTCGCAACTCAATCGTCGATATTGTTATAGTAGCTTTTTTATTACCCGTAAGGTTCACGTAGCAATTGTCATCATTTCTAGCTCGAACAAGTTTCAGTTTTTGTTTTCCCATAACTGCACTAGTATAATCAGCGAAAACTCCTAGTAGAAAATTTAACGGTATCAGTAAATTGATGTCTTTTGTTGTTTCATTCAGAGTTTTGAGCGGTGTACTCCATCCTGCGATGTCTAGTGCTTTGCTTTCCTGTTCATTGAAGCATAGCAAACTTTTTACTGTGCTTGTCAGTCCAGGGTCTCGAACTTTTTCAATTTCTTTGCCATTTAATTCATAAGCTATGGTCTCGAACAGAAAGGCTCCCACATTATTTGCCAACGAACATGTTCCTGTTGTCCCACCACCCGCACCTGCCACCATATTGTCCTCCTTAAAGTTGGCTTCAATGTAAAGCTCAGCTTGACTAATGTCCATAAAGACATCTTGCTGGTTGATAACTATCTCAATCACATCACTGTAGTTGAATGATTTTGTGAATGGATGATATGTATGCCATTCTTCTCGAGAAATGGATTCATCCACGTTGACCGGGTGAAATATTTGAAGTTTTTCCGATACGAAAACCATATTTGTGCGATAGAGAGCCTAAATGAATCAGACTCTTGTGTGTGAGTGACTGTTTCGGTGTCTGACTAAAGACTGAAGATGGGTTGGAGTATTCACTACTTTTATTATATCTTTGCTGTTGATGATTAAAAACTAAAACCATGTTTCTTTAGTTCTAGTTTTTCAACGATTTCTTCTCCTCTAAAATTGACAGGCTTCCTGATCCAAAATATTCAAAGTGATGTTATCGGTCTTAGATCTATTCACCGGAAGATAAATCAGATTTCTCGGCTCAACAATTATACTATATCCTGGATCATTGTACGCGTGAATTCGTATAATGTATGTGGAGGATTGTTTGTAAAATAGGATCCGGAAATAATGTTGCACTCAATTCGTATAGTAGTTACTTGTATAATCTCAACTGGAATATCTGATTCGTGTTGCGTGTTTGCATCTAGGATGAGTGGTGAGAAGCCCAGCAATTGGCCGATACTACCTTGAGGTTCAAAGTCTACATCGTAAACACTCTTGAGCTCACACTTTAGAGTGTTATTGTTAGGTTTTAGAGACAGTAAATTATCACCATCAGCACCACTACCGCCATTCGCAGCCAATTTATTTTGGAGGTATCTTTCGATATCTGTAATTTCGTAGGAACCTGTTGGAACTTCAATTACTTGCTCGTCTCTGTCACTCAAATAGTA